AGGACCTTTTAGACTATGCTCATGCTGTGCATTGCCAATGGCAAGCAAGCACAGATCGGAGGGGATCATGTCAAATTGGGTGTTGGTTGAAAAAATTCTGCCAAATCCCTTCATATAAGTGCTGATTTGGAGTTTGAAATCCAAGCAAACTCAGTAGTCTTATGTTGCCAACCCTAAAGAGTTGTTAGAAGGTACTAGTGAGAATGACAAGAAAGATGACCAGCAGTCATCTGAGAGAAATATAAAAAAGAACAAGAAAAAAAAAAATCCATTACCACCCACTTGCACCTCCACTCTTTAGATCAACACACACCAACAACCAATTATAGCAACCATTTGAAAGCAAAACCCAAACTCCACTCCAAGTCCCAGCATTATAACATTCTTTCAAAATCTGTTAGTAGTTATTACATCCATCAACAAGATTGAAATTGATACAACCAATAGAATAGTTGATTCTTACCACAAACCAACAACTCGGGAGTTGGGTCAAATTACAGATAGTGAGTATCTGAGTGATATGTTTCTTTGCATGCATTAAAGCCCAAATAAGCTTTTAGTTCAGATCACAGAAGTTAATTGGGCCTTCAACCAACAAAGGTGATCTGTTTCTTTTGTGCCTCCCCAATATTTTCTAAGGATGGTAGGATCCTTAGAACTAGTGTTTATAGATTCAGGTGTTGAACATTGAATATGCAAAGAGCATTTGTGCCATCAAAGATCTAGGCATACCCATGATTTCCCATTATTGTGGTCATGCTGCTTTGATATGATGGATCACCTTATTTGCTATAAATTTTCATTTGAGGGCCTGCATTTTCAATCTACAGTATGGTGGGTTGACTACTTGGATGAAAGAGTTTCCATGTTTTCAGACATTTCTGCCAAGGCTTATATTGCTTTCTTGGCATTGGGATTTCTCTCAACTTTATCTGAAGTGGCAAAAATAGAGGAGCAGGACAAAAGGTAGAAATCCAAACTTTGTATCAGGTAGGAAGGGATGCAAATTTTAAAGTTGTCATGACAATCATGATTAGGCATCACAAACCATAAATTTTTGGAACAATTGCTCTTGAGCCTTGGTTTTTTCTGACCAATCCTCTAAACCAACCCAAGCCTAACTAACCAACTCCAGTTCCAAGGCTTCAACCTAAATCAAATCAGCTTGTAGTGGTTATAGTGATTTTACCTGAAACTTGAGTTTACTTGGCTTAGCAGGGCTTATCTAGATTGCTTCCTTCCCTCTACCGAAATTCTCATATATGCACATGTCTAAGGACAATAAATCAACATTATTTAAGATTTTTTTCAGTAAATCAACATAGTTGATATAAGAGACACTCAAAAAACATTAGCTCAAAATGAGTGACTGTAGTTTTCAGGATATAGCATTTCTAATAGAAAACCAAGCTAGGCTCTTCCTCTCTTGAGAGGCTCCTCAGTGCTTGGTTCAAATTCCAGTCTTTTACATTTTCTCCACTTCCACCTGTATGGTTTTACTTTCCACCAATGGGTCCTCTAATTGAAAGAACCTCACAAATTGACAGGTGTCAATGGAGACATACTTAAATTTTGATTCAATTTTTGTATAAATGTTTGTGCCATATTTCTTATCAGGTTTCTACATATTATTGGTGCAACTGAATTAATAAAAAATGCTACTACAATTAAAGATGAGATGTTGTAACTAGAGGAAGTCAGAAGGTTTCACATTTCCTTGTATTCACAAGTAAGAACTTGTACCTTCTTTGCCAATTGAAACCTAGCCTCTTTTTTATTCACTAGAAAGTAAGTACATTTACCATTACAGGGTAATCAAGTATCAGCTAGAGTGCATTTACTATTTACCAATGTTTTCATGTAGTTCACATTATTGGCATTCAGTGAAAGTTAATATCTTTTGACTTTAAATGGACATGCTGCTAATATGTAGGTCTGTATCGTTTATTGGACTTTGAGGTGATCTCTCTTTTTATTGTTCTCTTGTTCAAAATAGTTCTTCTGACTGATTACACATCACTCGGATCCTATAACTTTCCTATTAGTTCTATCCTATATTGTAGCTTCCAGCGGAAAGGATTTTTCAGTTCTAGTCTCCAAGACCAAGGACACAACAGTAGCAGAAACAATGGACTACACTGACCTTCCACACTCTCAGATAAGAAAAGTAATCACCTTAGCTTATTTATTGCATATGTTAATAGGAATACAGAGACCTAACATGGTGAAATGGAAACTTTATCATCTCTTTTACCCTGTTTTTGACAGGTCACAGTCACAGCTTCACGCTTGCTACTTTCAAAACAAACTATTCCTCATTACTAATTGACAGTGGACACATGTGTTGACAAACTTATGGAGTAAGTTGTTATCTTCCACTTCTTGAAATATAAAATAATTATGATCTCAATGTTTCTGATAAGAAAAAGAAATTGGTCTGAACTGCTTGTGATGGTAATCTTCACGTACAACTTATGGAGGGATCTCTACAATTTTCTGGACCTATACAAGTAGAGCTGGCCTCTATAATTCAAGACATGAAACTATGCTTTGCTTTGTGATTGGAAAATGTACAAGTTGTGAGGATGAACTTGGGTGCATAGGGCACACCATTAGAGAAGTAGGGTACCAGGTGTACGGAATAAACTGCTTGTTCATCTGGTTTTCAAGGTCTGCCAATGCCTTAATGCCCTTGACAGAAATATAGAAATCCTAGTTATTGAATAGGGAGCCATATATCTTTGGGGGAACCATCGAGTTTGGCTGACTGTTCTCTTTGATCTATTGCTGATATCAATAGGCCTTCATCCAAATGTTGACATGGATTATGGGTAAGATTTAATGAAGGTTGACTTGGAAGAGTCAGTGTGACTTGTGTAGGAGTCAAAGGAATCGTTGGAATCAAACACTTGATTGATTCAGGTACAAACCGTATGCTTGAGACTGGAATCAACTAGGGAGGGAGTTGCACAACACAGACAAATAAGACTGGCATATTCCAACTTTTTTCTAACATACAACTTCATTTACCTATTATGCAGGTTCATCCAAGTGTGTGCAAGGGAGCTTATGTGTCCAGCTTATCATGAACTATGTAACTCCATATCAGMACCATATCTTGAATTATGTAAGTTCAGTCCTTATTTCTTCTTTTTTTTTAATTTCTGCAAAATATTTGAACCATTAATCCAATAATTATATAGTAGATTAAAAACATGAAACATCAATTTTTCCTTTTTAAGTTGAGATGGGGTTTGAAACTATCTAACTCTAAAATTTTTCTAGTCAACTAATACATGTCTTATATCTATCTCATAGGGACCATTATAAATGGAAGCAATTAATCCCTGCAATTGGCTCCTATACCAATATGTCTCATATCCAAGCAACAGTTATTTGTTCTAGAAAAGCAGGCCTACAACTTAGTGTCCGAAGTGGTGGCCACGACTAAGAGGGACTTTCATATGCATCTGAAGTTCCATTCATCATTGTTGACCTGCTAAATTTTTTATCTATTGGCGTTGATATAGAAGATAACAGTGCATGGATTCAAGTTGGATCAATTCTTGGGGATGTTTATTATAGAGTTGCAGAGATTTTTGTTTGTTCATGTATTTTTCTTTTCATTTTTTATGGTGGAGAATGATTTTTTTATTGTGATTTTTGTTTGTTTATGTGTTTTTCTTTTCATTTTTTTTCATGTTTTCTCCATATATGCACTTCTTAGCAGGTTGCCAATGTGTGTATATGTTGAAAATATGTAATGAGCGGCTGTTTTTGAGGTTTTTTTAATAAGGGCAGAATTGGAAATTTTAGCTGATTCCGATTCTAGCTTATAGTTGAACCAAACAGTAACAATCAGAATCTGATTCCGATTCCTGACTGAACCAAACAGGTGCCAGAAATAGGTGATTCCGATTCCAATTCCTGGGGATTCTGATTCCGATTCCAATTCCGATCCTGTTCATGAACCAAACGCACCCTAAATGTAGCACCTTCTGAATTAGGTAGTCATCTGAACATGATTTTCAACCAGGTAGTCACCTAGTTTGGAATCATATAAAGAAGCTAATGAGTAGCTAATTTTCCAAGTTGATACTACTTGCATATTACCATGTTATGGGAAATAAAATATGCAAGTATATAAATAGTGTTTTTTATATGTAATTTAAGAAAAAAAAATTCAAAAGACTTGAATGAGGAAAACGAGGACCAAAAAATGAAAACAGGAGTAGCCCACTGCCTGATCTCCACAATATTATGCATCCCTCTAAGTACCATTATCGTCTAGGGATTCCATGTCTCCACCAAATCAATTGTTGACCATGACACAAGGGAGAAGTAGATGTTCATAGGTATGGTCAAGTTGGAGATTTTTCTATTGATCCAAGAAAACTTCAATGAGCAACTGATGCTTAATTGATAACATTGCATGAATCACTCTCAACCACAAATTTCCAAATTCAAACCCCTAGTAAAAACAAATGATTGAAAAATTAATATACTTATCATTACCAAGGAAAAAAAATAATACATTCATATGCATACGCACATTGTCACCATGATAGCTATTACATGCTTGCATCATTCCTGTAAAGAGTGTATTTGCTGGAGCATAATTTCTATTACATGGCTCAAAGATGTTTGTCTAGAGTAATCCATTTGAAAGCATGCAAATGTCATATTGTTGCAGATAACTCTATTTGGCTTGAAGAACAATCCATATTTTCAAAGGAGAACTTAAACCTAACAAACTGACCATTATTTAGATTCCTTCTTCAAGTATGCCAATGTGTGAAAAAATGATGCAATAATTTTAGAAATAAAGCATCCAAATTGGGTACCAAAAAAATTTAAAAAAAGAAGCATCCAAATTAACTTATGGGTTGTAATTTGTATTCTTTAGGAGGAAAGTTAGGTCACCTTTCTAAAATTTTTGTCCTGAAATTTCTAGTTGAGAGGCTACTAAAATAAAACCAGTTTTGCAGCTAAATATATGGGCCTATTTCTGTACACCATTCTTAGATTCATCTAGCTGCATTCATATGAAATACAAATCTAGCAATGGAACCTCGAGGCATGCCATCAACCCTGTGGCATTAATGTCTCAATCAAATATTTACTTCATGGAAGTGACCATCATGCTCAACTTAAACTAGCCTAACACATATAGGTTCATAACCCGGTTCATATATCACAGTTTTGAAAAAGAAAAAGAGAAGAGAAGGTCACTTTGCCATTCGAAGTAGCATTCCAGTAACAAACAGTATGGCATTTTCCACAGCTACATCGAAGTCAAGCATTATATGAACTAAAAGTTAGTTAAACATTTGGCTTGTACCTCGATGACACGCCCAACAATAATGTCTCCAACTTCTGGCTTGTACCTGAGATTATTTCATTTTTATAATTCCAGACGAGAGTGAAGAAAGACAGGAAAATCAAATTTTTATAAGCACCATTTATGTATGAAATTTCTTCTTTAGTTGTACAGTAATACACCACACAACCTCTGTCGTGTTCAGGCGGGAAGAAACAAAACAGGAATAAGAAAAAAGAAATGAGAAATAGTGCCGAGCAAGGAATAAAAATTCACCTAGCCCTTAAAGTACGGACATAGACCAGCTTGTTAACGCGCTCGACTACTCCACATAGAGTCGCAACCACTTCACCATCAAGCTCAATAGTTCCATGCCCCCTTAATCAAATAACATAAAATGTTAACTCGGAGACTATTTATGGTTGAAAAAACAATTAGAGAAGAGTTCACAATTACCGGGATGAGATCAAACAGATAAATAACAAGCATAGGAGGAATAGAAATGAGGATTTGGAATTTGAAAGAAAATGGAGTTGGATATTGCAATTAAGAAAGAAAAATTAGGGTTTATTGGTTGATACTTGAGAACGCCGTCTTCCTGGTTTACAGGGATGGTGTCAGAAACTGTAACAGAAGCAGCAGAGGAGTCCTGAAGTTGTTGCAGAGCCGCCTGTAGTCTAACCTTCTGTGTCTGATTCAGTGGAAGCTGCACCTCTCTCATCTTTCTCCTCTTTCTCTCGGAGGGGGGAAGGAACAGCAGAGCAGGGAGCAAAAAATTGAAGTATAAACCAATGTTCTGAGAACCGGACCGGACATCGACCCGGTAAAGGCAGAGGTTCACAGGTTAGAGGTTCGACCGGGGTTGAACTGTAGGTCAAACCGTGCTGATGTAATAAACAATATATATAATTCAAAAAATACTGATATAAAGTAAAATTAATCCAGAATAATCCAATATAGAAATAAAATAGCAATTCAAACTTTCGAAGTTTAAGACAATATGTCCACAATGAAAACAAATAGATCAACAAACAAAGTTTAAGACTCAACTCTAACAAATTAAATAGTATAAAATTATAAATTAAACACAATTATTTATCCTAATTCCTAAATCATAATATTTAATTATTTAATTTATTTTTACAAAATTCAAAACTATGATATCAATTTACTGAAGTTTAAATTTCACTATTTCAGTGATTCTGTTCCAAGCTTTGAAAGTGGCTAAGGCTAACCTAGAACTGAACAAGTAGGTGGGTTGTGTTGTTTATTGTGTAAGAATTTGGTGGACTGAAAGCCTAAAACAAAGATCAATCGAATTTGAGCAAACCTGTAAACAAAACTTATGAATGTTAACAAATTTTCAAATTCAGAAATTAAAAAATAAATATTTAAAAATTAAAATAAAATAAATTGTTGGAGATTGCAAAAACAAGCGTCAGGTGGTGGGAGGAGGAGGGGAAGAAGGAGAAGAGGGGAACCACTGTCACGTAAGTGGCGGTGAACACACCACCATCGAAGAAGAAAAAGGAGGAGGAGAAAGAGAAAGAGGAGGAGAACAAACGACCAACGGAGTTGAAGGGACATGGTGAACAGACCACCGGCGGGAAGAAGAAGAAGAAGAAGAAGAAGAAGAAGAAGAAGAAGAAGAAGAAGAAGAAGGAGGAGGAGGAAGCGGAGGAAGATGAGCAGAGAGAATACCTAGCGTCGTCAGCTATTGCTTGAGGCGGTCGACAGCAATGCAACGAGTCGCGACTATTGCTAGCGGTGGAGGAGGCGATGTTCGGTGATGGCTGGAGTTCGAACGGAAGAGAAAGAGGTTACGAGGGTTTTGAGGATTTTGATTTGACTTGGTGGGTGTTTGGCATCTATGCGGTTCTCTCACTTTTCTGAGAAAACGACACCAAAATGGTGTTTCAGACAATGCCATGTTGTTTGATATCATTTTTTAGAAAAAAATGTTGTTTCATATAAAGTATTTATGGAGCAATGCCAAATTCAATATTTCCTCAAAAAATATGCACTGCTACCAATGGTGCTAGTACCACATCATTAGATAATATAGATCAATGCTGAAAACGTTATTGCCAGTGGTACCAAACAAAACTAATACTATTTTATTAAAAAACGCCTATGTGGCAACACCGATTCCAAACAAAAAATAATCATTATTTTCTCATAAAACAATGCTTACAATTCCACATCCCAACATCATCTTTATGAGAAAACAATGTGATGTTCCCAGCACCGATGCTAAACACCTACTTAGGTTAGTAAATTAAGACTTAAGTTTTGTTTGGTTCAACTATGCATTATTTTTGTCTCTATGTGATAAAAGTTGGGGTGTAACAAGACCAGCCAATTATGCAAAACCAAGACTAGTTCACCATTTCCTAGGTTGAACTGGATGGTTCCTAGGTTGAACCAGTGAGAGGTCTAAAGGGAAGGGAGATCCATCATATGGACCGAACCATGCAGGGTGGATGGTTAAAATTTCAAAAATTTATTTCTCTCTTCCGAGAATCATATTCCTTGATTTAGAAAAATTGCATTTTTCAAGGTTCGTTCATTAAACAAACTGGACCAAATCTGAAACCAAGAATAAGGGAGGGTTATACCTGATATTGAATCCATGCAAGTAGCTCCCAACATAGGTGTTCATGCCCAAAGAGGGTACTGTTCGGGTCATGGCTGAGCTGGCTCTACGAGACACATGGCTGCTTAACTATCGCCCTGCCACATCATTCCAACTCGGCCACGTTGGGCTAGCTCGGCCAAGCTACGCTATTACTGTGGCACCCCATCTTATCCTTCTAGCCACATCAACTACACGTTATATGGATGAGCACGACTACAGATAAAGAGGAATAAGGAAGACGACTCCACTGGGGAATGGGACTCTATCCCGAATACCTCGACAGCTAACTCCATCCCAACAACCCCGGAAGCCCAATCCGATCAGGACACGGATCTTTGGTTATAAAAAGGTACTCCGTGCTCAAGGTAAGGGATCCAACTTCTGAGACCGACACCGCTACTTAGCTCGAACCGGCATCCTTATAGCTCGGACCGACCATCCTACCACCTCCAACTGACTTGAGCGTCAGAGTTCTTACCTGGGGATAACTCCTCAGGCCTCTAGCTTCTGTTTCCTTGATCATAGGTCTTGAAGCGTAGACTCATCCTTGTAACTCGGCCCCGCCCTACCAGCAAGGACTATCTAGTTGCTCTCCTTAGTTCGTGCACCACCTCGGATTGAACAGCATCAGATTGGCATCATCTGTGGGAATGACACAGAATGCCTTTCTCAAAAATCTTCATCGCCACGCAATCAAGGAAGCGATTAAGATGCCTAAAAACCAGTCTAAGCGAGCAACTGTCCATACCCCATCTTGGGAGAACCAAGAAGTTCCGCAACCTTCAGCCGTAGTTGATCCAACGCAATTYCGAGCCATGCAGGAAAAGGTTGATAAGATCTTTGAATTCATGCAAACACTAGGGTCTGCCGCGCCACCCAACTGGGCTGACCCCCCTCATGCCCCGATGTGCACGAAGGACGATCATCAGACCGAGGACCCCAAAGTGCGCCGGTCAAACGCAAGGGGAGAGCGGTCTGAGCGCAAGAGGCAAGACACGACCTGAAGGCCTGCCGCCACTGCCCATTCCCGATGACAGGACTACCATAACCAAACATACCAATCAGCGCACATCCTCGCCAAAGAAAGGCTCGACAAAAGGATGCCTTCCTTCGTAGTCTTAGTCGCCGAGTCAAGCTTGGTCAAGGATCTACCCCACATGACCCAAAAGGAAGGCCATAAATACTACAACCCCAGACAATAAAGATGTCGAAATTAAAGAGCTCCGGCAACGTTTGGAAGAGTTTGAGCGCAATTCACATCGTAAACCAACCTGTGCAAGCCACCACACATATCACTAAGGAGCCACCCTTCATCCAGAACATAGTGGACGAGGTACCCCCTGTCGAATGGCGAGCCCCCCAATTCGACAAGTACAACAGGAACTCCGACCCTTTCGACCAGTCACGGCACTCAAAGCCCAGATGATGCTACATGGTGCGTCAGAGGGACGGATGTGCAAAGCCCTTGTAACCACGCTACAAGGCCCAGCCTTGGCATGGTACTCCTCCCTGCTACCGAGAGTATCTAAAATTATTAGTGGGAATGGAGTCCTATTGAAACCAAGAAATATAGGCCTGCCTGCCATCCACACCAGAATAGATGGAGTTTTCCGAAAAAACCTGCTAGTGGAGKAAGACCTCCTAGGGATAAGAGACATAGGGCTGAAGAGAGAGCCAAAAAAGGATCTTTCCTTGCTCAAACCAATAAATAGAGCTGAGGTTATAGTTGAAGCTGCCAGTAGAAAACCGAAATAACTAGTTAGAGTAGGCATGAAGGAACTAAATGAGATGCGTTCTTTTTCTACATATGTTTATAAAACACTTACCTAAGTTTCTATTTTTCAAGATACGGGGATAAGGAAAAWTACCAATTGATAGAATAAGTTCAAATTGAAAGTTTTTGATTCATCAGTCATTACATTATCATTATAGACGCACTAACAAAGATAGAGCAGCAGAAGTAGATCTAGTCCGAATATATGGACTGTGTTGAAGATTCAAAATCCATTTTCTTTTTATATTTTATAAAAAAAAGATGAAATAATTCCAATGGATTTAAAACTTATTCYTAGGTAAATCAATTGCGAAATGCTTTTGTAGAATATCCAATATCTGTTTTACATCTTCTATCTGAAAATGGAACATTTTCATAAGATCTTCTTGACTGTTATTCAAAAGGTCCAAGAAATATAGCCATCCCTACCCCCTCACGTCAATCCCACGAGCCKCTTATCCATTCTCATTCGATCACGGCAGGGGAGCAAGTCAAAATAGAAAAACTCACATTGGGTTTAGGGATAATCAGGCTCGAACTGATGACTTCCACCATGTCAAGGTGACACTCTACCGCTGAGTTATATCCCTTCGATTCATCCTCTTCTTCCAAGGGTTTCATAATTGGATGTTGAGTTATCATTCTAAAAGGATTGAGCCGAATAAAAAATGGGGAATGGCGGAAGCATATGACCTGCGTGACGAAATAAATGTGCAGCGCGACCAACCTATGGAAGACCTTGTCCAAGTCCCCCTATTTGAGGAAGACCCCGAAAAGACGGTCCAAGTTGGCTCATTGCTAGGCGACCACCTCCGAGAGGAACTTGTCCGACTACTGCAGAATAATGCCGACGTATTTGCTTGGTCGGCAGAGGACATGCTTGGAATTGATCCTGAAGTCATCACACATYGGCTGAATGTCGACCCCTGTTACCAACCTGTGAAGCATAAGAAGAGAAATTTCGCCATAGAGCGGTGGCAAGTGATCGCGGAGGAAGTACAAAAGTTGCTCAACACCAACTTCATTAGGGAAGTCAAATACCCCGATTGGTCGGCCAACATAGTAATGGTGAAGAAGGCCAACAGAAAGTGGAGAATCTGCATCGACTTCACTGACCTAAATAAGGCCTGTCCCAAGACATCTTTCCCCTTCTTCAGATTGACCATCTCGTCGATGCAACAGCAGGACATGAGCTCCTAAGCTTCTTGGAYGCCTTCTCAGGCTATAATCAGATCCGGATGGACTCGGACGACCAAGAGCGAATGGCCTTTATCACTAATCGCGCCCAGTACTACTATAAGGTAAAACCCTTTGGCCTCAAAAACGCTGGCGCTACCTATCAGT